CCCCCCCCCCCCCCCCCAAAAAAAATTTCAGAGTACAGACACACTGACTATAATTATCATGAAAAACACAAGTCTGGAATGCAACATCCTCTTCTTTACCTGGCTGTTCCTTGACGTACAATTTTCCATGCCTACAGATAAATTCACTCCAAAGTCTGTTTAGTTATATAAGAAGCAGACGCTCCTTAAATCAGAAGAAGAGGGAAACTGTTGCCCCTGCTGCTTAGCACAACATGTGCGAGAACATGTGCTAAAGGAAGGGGACATTCTGTTTGTGACTCAGACCCTCCTAATCTAACCTGGGCACAGAGATAAGAAATGGGAGGCAGCTACAGTACCCGTTGCACTAGGAGATTGGGAGGGAATGGCCATCACAGCAAGAAAAGGGGGTGGGATCAGTGGAGGTTGCCAGCTCTTTGGGGAAGGGAATTAAGCTACAGCGGCTACCTTCACAGCATTCTCTGAGGAAAAAGTACTGCACTGAATCAAGTGGAAAAACTATGTAGTGGTATCGACCCACCTGAAAATTGCTAGCATTGCCCGATAGCAATATTACAGTCATTATTAATAAAATAACTAATGTTCTTAAAAATGAGTCTTAAAAGCATTAATTTAATTCCAGTGTCTAGCATTTACGACCTCCTTTGACTACTACCGTAACCTAGGATTCTGAATTGGGCTTTATGTTAACAGATTACCAAATGCACTAAAGATTTCCGTTTTTATAGCTGGCTCAATAAAGTCCAAGGCAACCTTAACTGTGTGTGATGTTGATTTGAGTAAGGACATGATCGCACATTATCCACACCGTAAAGAGTGAACTGAAGTCAAATATGAGCATCACATCCAGAAACACAGCATACAGTTGATCACATCTATAAAGGAGGGTTCACGTGCATACTTACGCACCCCCAACTCCTTTCTCTCTTACTATTTGGGGCACTTCACCCATACGAAAGGAACATGTCTGCCTCCATAGCGTGTGGTATTCCACAATATTTATAAATTAACTTTACTGACACACTTTGCTGTCAGTGAATACACCAATTTTGCTCTGCCACAGACTCCTCAGCACCGCTGTACATAAACACTTCTGTACCCTGATCCCCTTCTGTGTACTCCTTGCTGGGACACCTATGGTTGTTAGGACAGCAAGCTCCACCTCCACCGGTGTTGCCTCCCCAAAACAAACGTCCTGTTCAACTGCGAAGCAGAAACTTCTTCCCAAGAACACCACGAACTGCGAAGTGGGAAAGGCAAAGGTGAACTTCATCTCTACAGAGAAACCACCTTCTGATTTCAAAGGATTAGGCAGGCAATGCAAATACCTCAGAAATGGCAAGCTCCCCAAGATTCCTAATGAAATGGAATCTGTCTGAACCCAGCTTTAATGCTGTTGAATTTTAAGACACAAAACAACTGATTTGGCAGCTGTGAGAGTGCCAGAGCCGCAGCCCGGCGCCCAGAGCCGCGATGGCGCCGCCACGAGTAAAGCAAGCGCCCAGTCCGTCCGGCTCCCGCAGAGACGAGGCCTATCCCATCTCGGGCTGCAGGCTCCGCCGCGGGCTGCATCAAGCCCCAGCGCGGCCGGCCCCGCGTACAGAGGGGCGGGGCGGGGCGGGGGACGACCCAGGACTGCGGCCCCCGGGACGCCCGGCGGGCTCTCAGCAGCTCGGT